TATACTGATATTATCACATATTCAGATTAAGTATCAAATATTAATAATAAAAGCAACAGGAATAAAATTCAAATTTTGATATATATTTTATTTTATAAAAGTAATTACAACTATTAAAATATATCTATTCAATTTATTTAGACTGCACTACAACTAGTTACATCAGATGTTATTCAAAGTGATCAATCTTATCATATTGATTCTCAGTGGACATTACTATCAAATATTGTACATTCTCATGATACATTTAGTACCATGTCTCAAATGCTTTTTACTGTCAATAGTTTACCTACATTAAGAGTTGAAGCACATAGTAATGTGATTAATCCTATTGAAATTATCAATCAAATGTGCATATCAATGCAATCATTTATTAGTTCTTCACCAGATTTTCGAATATTAACTCTTAGTGAACAAATTTCATTGTTCGAACGAAATTTACATTGTGTTATTGCCTTTTATTCAACTCTGTTTTTTCGTCATACAGGTATTCTTCGTATTCCTGAATATCTCAATGCATTTATAACAATATATGGATCAGATATAATGTTATCTCTAAGACAGGCTATTGATGAGTTAGATCCTGATCCAACACTGATTAAAATCATACTTATTATTTTAGCTTTTTCATCGAATTGTCTTATTGTTAATACAAATAAAACAATGGAACGTGATAGTTTATTAGATGGCACATTTCGTCTATTAGGAAGTCAGAATGTTTATGTAGAACTTTTATGGAAATATTTGATTTCGAAATATGGTTATGATAAATCAATACTTCGTTTCATTCGACTCATACAGATCATCTTATGTGTAATAAAAAAATTAGCAATTGTTCATACCAATAATGCAACTCATCGAACAATATTTGATGATATTGCTGACAGAACAAAACAAACTCTTGCTAATAACGAAAATGATCGAACTCTTTTATGGGGGAAAGGCTCTACTGGTTAATTGTAATAAAAGTTTTTGTTGATTATCTTTATTTCTTTTTTTGTAAACTATGTGCAATATTGAAATGATGGAGGTTGTCTAGCTGATACAACAGCATGATATCAGGATATTAATATTTTAAATAAAAACGAAAATGACAAGGTTCATTATTTTATTGTTATTTAAATTTGTTAGATATCACAGAATATATTTTATCAGTACAGAACATGATTGTAGTAGAAATGCAGACTATGAGATACATTGGTAGAACATTACAAAGAGTGTTTTATCATAATGGCTCACGATTACAGATCTCTACTACTATCTGTCTCAGGAAATTCATATAATAAATATATGTAAGGGAAGTTACCGACAGATTCTAGTTGTTGCTGGAACAATTTGATCCATCAGTCGTGCCAACTATGAAATGATGTGTGCCAGATGTATCTTGATGATATCTGTCGAATGGTAATCTCACATGTTACGGTACATGTGAAGAAACTAGTAATTTCTACCATAGGGAAATATGCACTCCTGCAATAGTTTGTAAGCCAATTCGTTATATTAACTATGTCACACACAAGATACATTAGCAATCGATGCAGTTTTTTACGCTCTATCTAATGGTATACATATATCCATTATTAGTCAGACTTATCATACCCTTATGCTTATAAAACTTCCTAAATCAGGTGTATACAATGTATTTAATAAACCACTTCACTTGTAAAGATGTACCAACAGCGCATTACCTTTCTTTTGATAGAACCAGATGAATTTCATCAATCAGTATATATTTAAAAAGAAATCATCGCAGTTTCATGAAGTGAACTACTTACGATCTGTTTTCATGATACTCACATGGGTTCTTTCATATGACAATGCACTCCACAACGTGTGTCAATATTCAAATTGATATCATTCGATAGAGCTCATTGAATTACACCGATTAATATGTAATTTATAAAATCTAATAACAATTTTCAATTGCTTTTTACAGCTGATGATATAAGTAAACGATGAGAATAGAAAATATTCTATATACCGACTCACTGAACGATGTGCGACAATACTCAAACTGATGCGATTCGATAGATCTGGATTTGCTCGATCGATTGATTTAGAATTTATTGTATCTAGCAATATTTTTCAAGAAGATTAAATTTAAAGAATGAACAATGGAAAGTGTAGATAGATTGTTTGATTTTGAGGTCTGATCTGAGAATGTTGTTTATAAACACCGTCGTTGAACAGTCATTATTAGAGAGAGAGAGAGAGAACGTTAAAAAATGATCAAGTTGTATATCACCTCTCGCATGTTATTTGAAAATATTGTCTACTATAAAAGGATGCAATGAATAAACTGATGTGAAATGGGATAGAGAGAAAGATTTAAGTTTTGTTTTGTTCTACTTTATCTTAGCATAAAACACCGAGGAAGCAGAAGCATATGTTGTTAATATGGTCGATACTATTTTTTATCTATTATTTTAGTTTGATGAAACTCAGTTAAGTTTGATCCTTGCGAGTTAATGTGAAATTTTTTAATTCTCAAGTTCTAGATTTAATGGATAAAATAGTAGAATGAGTTTCTGCATTATTTGTCGATAAATTTCTATGAATATTTGGATTCAACTAGAGAAGATAAGATATCGATGTAATGATCGACTTAGTATAGTTTATGTTTTTTTCCTATTGATATGAGTTTAAAAAGCTATGGAAATAAAATTATATTGATTGACTAAACTTCTTTTCGTGTGAATGAAGGAAAATTTCTCTCTGTTAGTGGTGTACGTGTTTTTTATCTGAAACTTTGAAAAAAAATTAGATCTCACAGTAATGAGTTATTGATGCTTTATCAGACTAATATTCATTATTTTTCAGATATAAAAAAAGACTTTGAGGTCCAAATAGAATACCTCATGGACTTAAGCCAACAAACATAAGAAAACAAGAAAAATTTATATTCCAAATGATAAAATTATTAATGTAATATCGAATCTCGAATTAAAAGCAATCGAATTGAACAAGGATAGAGTATGGAGATCCAATGGTTCTCTATATGGTTCCAGATAGCTACTCAATTGAGTTTAACATTATCTATTCAAAACATAATGGGCATTCAAAAATACATTTATGCCATATGGAATCGAGAGTCATCGAATGTTAGATCTTATTTTACGCAGGATCTAAAGCCTGGCAAGATTTCTTCACACATGTAACAACTTTCGTCGTTACCAAGTGCTGCACAAATTGCTACAGGATCACGAGAAGGACAAGGATCCAATACAGATGCTCAAAAGAATGAAACACAAGAATATTTAGTTGGATTTGCTTACGAACAATGGGGTTCAAATAAGTTTTATCGATTATTCTAAAAATTCAAACCAATGAGATGTATCACAGGCAAGATAATGTTTTACATTGTTTAGATTCATCATAAAAATAACGAGTTACCTAACTCTCATTCAATGGATCCATCATGGACAAATATATTCTTCGAAATTGATTACATGTGGTCTTATTTTTACGAAATCGGAATTTCGAAAGAAATGTTCTCGTAAACGTAACAGACCTTTATTTGTATGTTGAGCCAAATGTCAACATCCTTCTTGTAATGTAACTGTTCGTGTGGTTATGGATAAAACCTGTCACTACTGGTGAAAAAGTTACTTTTCGCGTATATATTAGTGGTATTCAGAATCATAGTAATCCATCAATTGCAATTGGTCGTCCATGTAAGGGTAATGAGCGACGTGAAACATTCTTTCTGATAATGGTCCTCAATTTATTGTTGAACTGTTCGCTGAAATCTGTCGTTGCCTTAGTATTAGTCGTAAACTAACCTGACTAAACGTGTTAACTGTACGTTGAAAGTTCTGATCGCTATTTACACTCAAAATCATTCCAGTTGCCGGGATAAAGAAATTCAGAAATTGGCTTTTGCCATTCGCACTTCTGTTAATGACATCATTGGTGGTACACCTCCTTCTCTCACGTTTAATCGTGATCTTCAAACCCCTCTTAATCTTATTCTTTCTTCTTCTTCCTCTAATCCTCCGGGGTTATAGACTGAAATCACGGTTCTCCAGAAAACCCTTATATCTCTTAAACAGAATAAGCTAGAAATGTCGAGTTTGCTTAGATCAAAAAAGAAAAATTTTCTCTATCAAATGGTCATATCACAAGTTAAAATCCAATTGGAAAAAAACATTATAAACTGTCGTTATCAAAACCTTGTCAAAAAATTCACCTCATTGGTCAACTGATGGCCCTTCACATTTTGACACGTTTCGATGCCCCTCAAGATTTGTTTTGAAATAGCGAAAACGGCAGATATCTAGCTCTTTCTGTTTTTGAGTTATTGCAAAAATACTCGAGTCCACTTTCTTTCTAGGCAGACACTAGTTGAAATACTTTTATCTTATAACAAAACTAATGAAATATAACACATCTTAAGAGATACTTTAAAATTAAATATAGATGTGCAATAAATAACGACAAAGGAATTATGATTATCTCTTACCTTGTGCGCTGTTGAAACTTCTATTTTGATATATATATAACTTATTTTTCTATGAAATATGATTATCCATTAAAGTTTTCAATTTTATCGGAAATTAATTTAGTTTTTGATATTCATTCGATAGATATGTGGACGTTCATAAACATGCTTATCACAAAAAAACAACGATAAAAGACTTTTCCTTATTTTTCTGTTGACTATATAAGTCATAAACATTTAATAAATTTTTAATTTTATAAGTGAATCAATTTGAAAAACAGAGTATGAGGCTATTACTAAACTGATGAATAATAAATTATTAATTGCATATGACGTTGAAGATTTAAAGTATAGAGATCATGTTTGAAAACAAAAAGATTTATTATTTTAATTAATATGTATATCAAAATTTTCTTAACTTACGTTTCTACAAATAAAACCATTTAATCGATTTTTATCCGAAAGCTAATATATTTTTTTGATTAAACTTGATGATTAAATTTATATAATTTTTTTAATACTTAATTACATATTCTACAATATTTTCGAATTAAAAAAAGTGTTTTTCTGATAAATATTAGCACATTTAACATTAGTTTCTGTGTTACATTGAAATACAGAACCAAAACAATGTTCCCTTGACTCTTCGTTGTCGACAATGGGTGGAAGGCAAAAGAAAAAGAAGAGGAAAAGAAATATATAAAAAGCGTACTGTAAGGGACAGAACGAAAGGAAAGCGACAATAAAGCTCTCTGTACTGCGCTCTAACATCATATCTATCTATTGTACAACGATAAAGAGTAAGCTGATTTGTTATTAATTCGATTTCAAAACCAGAAGACTACGGATGATTTCATTTTGTAGAAAAAGAATTCATCTTACTTATATAGACTAATATCTCTAGTTATTCAAAGAAAATAATATAAGAATTTGTAAAATATTAGTAGAGAGAAAACAATTTTCAATCCTAATAAGATTTTTTTAGGGAAAATTATTCATTTTTTTTGTTTTACAAACATCTTATATTATCATCGATGAGAAAAACTTGTGCATTGTCATAAATAAAATTTTTTTTGCATTGATTTCTAGAAGCTTCATGATAAAAAAATATTTTCTATAAAAAGAAAACATGCACTGCAGATGACCCGATGAGCAATAATTGTAATAAAAATGATTTTTATAATTTTACCTAGAGTTTCGAAGAATGATTTTCAAATGGAAATAAAGATGACAAGAATGTTTGTATTTCTTGAGTTCATTGTCTTTATTATACATAAGGTGAATCTATCGAACACTTCCTATGTATAAAATAAATTATTTATAAGAAAAATATTAATTATATTTTCTGCACTCTAACATCATATCTCTCTATTGTATAACGATAAAAAGTAAGATGATTTAATATTAATTCGATCTTAAACCAAGAGAACTTCAAATGATTTTATTTCTTGAAGAAGAATTTATCTTATTTATATAGACTAATCTCTCTATTTTTTCAAAGAAAATAATATAAGAA